CTCTCTCTGCTTCCTCTATCCCATGATTTCCCCCCATAGCCGAGGATGCCTTCCTGTCTGCCATCATTAACTACACCAACAGCTCAACGGTGCACTTCAAGCTGTCCCCCACCTATGTGCTGTACATGACCTGCCGTTACGTCATGTCCAGCCAATACCGGCCTGACATCAGCCCCTCTGAGCGAACACACAAGGTCATCGCCATTGTCAACAAGATGGTGAGCATGATGGAAGGAGTTATCCAGGTGGGTGTTGGCCATTTTTACTGGAATAAACTTCTGATAGTAATTATTGATCTGAATGATTTTTTACAGTGGAAGTTGTGACTTTATTATATTATAACTGTATTATTTATACTTTAGACATATCGCTGTAGCTCTGATGTAGAGATTTGTCTGTGAAGTTGCATTATACATGCTTTTGTAGTTGTAGTGTTAAAGCTTGTTTCACTCTGCTTTCATCGATTCAGGTCATTGCCTCAGCAAACAGTGCTTAAACTACTGCACTCAGTGTTTCCCCTGTGTTTGTTTGTATGTGGATGACTGTACGTGTGTGTGTGTGTGTGTCTCTGTACCTTGTTTTATCTGATTCATGCACCATATTTTCTAGGGCTGCAACAACTAATCGATTATGAAAATCATCGACAACGATTCTCATTATCGATTAATCGGATCTGCCCACAGTGCACGTCCAACGGAGTTTATATACTTGTCCAACTTCAGCCGGTCGCGTCAAATTAAAGCACTGAATTACTTATTTCTATGGACAAAATGCATCTAAAATAGTGGAGGAAACAGAATGAGATGCTGCAGGAGAGTTACGTGATCCAAGCTGCCCAAAACATGAGAATTCTTTATTTTAAGCTTTAAGCTAATGCATTAGCGTAATGGCTTGCCCTGTCAGGCGCTTTAACAGATGCGTGTGCGTCCTCAGCGCAAAAAAACTTTCAGTTAACGTAATCCTTATGTATAAATGTCACAAAATCACGCAAGCATTTCCATTTTTGCATAAAGGTCCGTCCTGACAGTCCTGACAGTCTGTGTTAAATTTTAATCTTTACTGAATGAGCACCAGCGCGTTTGCCAATAAAATAAAAAAAGAAAATTGTTTGTTTTTAATCCGATTAATCGAAAAAATAATCGACCAACTAATCGATTATCAAAATAATCGTTAGTTGCAGCCCTAATATTTTCCCAGCAGCGCTTGGTTCAACAGCTTCTGATTGTCACCAAGTTGCCATATTGATATGTAAAATTAGAACGACTTTTTTCTCTCGCGATACAAGATTTTCTTGTTGCTTCTGAAAGAAGTGTTTGTATTTACATTAATGTTTAAAGGTTTGGGGTCGGAAAGATTTTAATATGTATAAGAAGTTTCTTATTCTCACCAAGGCTGCATTTATTTGATCAAAAATACAATAAAACAATCTTACTGTGAAATATTAATATAATTCAAAAGTTATTATTATCAATGTTGAAAGCATTTGTGTTTAAGCCATTTGATACATTTTTTCAAGATTCTTTGATGAATAGAAAGTTCAAAATCTTTTGTAACATTACAAATGTCTTTACTGTCAATTTTGATCGATTTAATGCACCCTCGCTGAATAAAAGTATTCAGTTCCTTAAAAAAAAAAAACCTTTTCAAACCTTTCTTGTAAATATCATGAACGAGACTGATTATCAGTGCATGAATCAAACTCAGTGAATCATGAATCACACTCACTGATAATGATTACAAATTATGGGCAGACACAAATTCTACAGAACAGTGAAATCACTCACAGTAACATGAACGAAGAGTCGTTTGCATGAAGTTAAACTTTTTTTTCTCGACTGTCAAGTCACTGCATACGGCCTCATTGGATCGCCAATCTTCACTTCTATCATTTGCTCACCACAAATAACTATGTAAACGCCTCTTTACAGTTCAGAAATGAGGTCCACATGCTCTCTGTTTATTTATCTTATTTGGTCAGCGCCTGCGGGTTTTGAGTGGCCCACCCAGGGCAAACCGAAAATCCAGCACTCCCCTACCTTCACTGCTGATACTGCGACTATTCTTGTTTGTATGTGTTCCTTCGCTGGCGTTTTCCACATTTAGTTTTTCTCCCTTAATAACAAATGTATCCATTCTGATGCTCAATTTTACCAAACTAATGGCTGCTGATGACTATTTGAATTGAATTCTGCCAAAGTGCGCGCTTGTAAGTGTTCGTTAAATGCGTAACGTTAATTACGTGAGTAGGCCTAGCCTACAGGTCAAAACAGCTTTAGTGTCATAATCCATTTAAATGTTGATTTTCTTTTTCTGAATTTTTGGTAAATCCAAAATCTTAAGCCTCACATCACATGTTTAAGGACCTAAACTTAGAAAACAAGAAACATAATCTCAGAAAGAGAGGGAATTAATTTAAGGCTTGGTAGCAAGACATTAGGATATTTGGAATTTGAATTTATTTATTTTTTTGTTATTTGAAGTATCTTTTTATCTACTCAGATCAAAAAGTTTAGTAGTAAGTTTGTCATTAGTCAAATCCTGATTGTTAACATCAGTAGTTTTAAAATCATAGTTTTCTCTTAAAACAAAAATAACCATCATTTGCTGCTTGTTATGGCTAGTTATTATAGACACAAGTTATTTATTTTTTTTTTACCTTTCATGATTTCACTAGCACATTTGCACTATTGTTCAAAAGATTTTAAAATATTTTTGAAAGTAGTCTCTTATGCTTACCAAGACTGCATTATTTGATCAAAAATACAGTCAAATAGTAATATTATTAGAATTTAACAGAAATGCTTATATTATAATATTGTAATATATTATTGTGATGCAAAGCTGAATATTCAGCATCATGAAGCTCCAGTCTTCAGTGTCACATGATCCTACAGAAATCATTTTAATATGCTGATATGGTGTTTAAGAAATATTTCTTATTGAAGTTAAAAAAGAGCATTTATCTAGTGGCCTGTAAATGTCATCCTTGGCATCACAGAAAAGCAGCTGTATCTTTACACTGCAGCATTAATTATAAAATCGAGTAAAATTGCTCTAGATGACTCGGACGTCCCGTACGACAGTGAGTGCGAGATGATGATAATGTGACCTGTCCTGTGTGAGTGTGAATGTCTGTGTTTACATGCCTGTGAATTCTGTCCATGCCATGGCTGTTGTTGACAGTCTCTCTCTCTGTCCTGTCGGATGTCTGTCCCCCACCCCCTCTTCCCCCACACCTACTATCTCTACAGGAGATTGCTGAAGGTGATCAGGTAGGAATTCGCACTGTTAGGGAGGCGTCTCATTCTTCCTGTTTCTCTCTCTCTCTCTCTGTTCTATCTGTCGGCTTGGCTCCGTCTTCCATGCCTCTTTTATCCCCCCATAACAGAAAGCAAACAACCCAAGCCAACTAAGTAATCCCTCCTCCTACAGCTGGACGCAGTCGTTCATAACCCCTCATTACGACTCAACCTGGACCATGTGATACTAAAAAACAAACTCTGATTGCGGCAACATTTTAATTGCGGCATCTTCCATTGTTGACCTCTGCTTACTGCACTTCAGTGTGGATGAGAGACTACCCCATGTTCTTTTGCTTTGGAAACTTTTAATTTCCTTTTCATTTGACTTCATGTCTGTGGTTAACGTCATTGTTCTTATGGATGCGTCCTGTGGCCAGTATGACGTATTCGGGAGGGTCGGGGCGGGGGGTTGCTGTCGTCGTCACGTGGGATAGACATGTGCAGGTATACACAGAGGTCTGGTAGTTCCGGACCGTGTGTATCCCTACTCTGTGTTGCAGGGATGTGGGATCCAGAGCAACCAGTCACCGCAGCTTCCCAGTCAGTCGTGCCTAGCTTGAGCTAACTCTAACATTTGAATGATTTCTACTCTGTCTGGACGCGGTGACTGGTCGTTGGAGGCTGGAAGGGTTGGACAGAGGCACATGTCTATCCCGGGAGTGCTACTCAGTGCTTCTCATGGCTGTAACTCTTTTCTTTGTCGTTTGTATGTCGGATTGTTTTGCTTTAGCTGTGTGTAACGGCCCATCTCTGTGCATTACAGAAACAGAAGAACATCGCAGGGGCTCTGGCCTTCTGGATGGCTAACGCCTCAGAGCTGCTGAACTTCATCAAACAGGACAAGGATCTGAGTCGCATCACGCTAGATGCACAGGATGTCCTCGCTCACCTGGTTCAGATGGCTTTTAAGTGAGTGTTTGCATGCACATGCATATTTACCAGAGGTGGGAGTAAGTCACACATGTGCAAGTCACAAGTAAGGTTGCTTTCACACTAGCACTTTTGGTCCGTACCCAGGTTCGATTGACGTCAGAGTTCGGTTCGTTTGGATAATGTGAACACTGTCTTACGAACTCGGGTGCGCACCTGCGAACCGTACCCGAGTCCGCTTAAAAAGGGTGGTCTGGGGTACGGTTCATGTGAACTCCGGTACGGTTCACTGCTGTTGTGAACGCAATCGTACCAAATCGCAGAAGTGAACCGCTATTAATGACGTATTATTTGATAAAAATGTGTGTTTGTGTGCGTGTTTCACTCACTTTCCTGATGAGCGTGACTGACGCGCTGCAGACAGAGAGCTGTATATCTAATTTCTGTTCGCCTTCAGCGTTCTTTAGAGCATTTGCAGTACATTCGTAAGACAGACATAAGTGCCGTTATGTACCGAAGCTTTGTAAACAAAATGAATGGTTTAAAAACGTAAATATATAAAAGTGCAGAGAGCAATGTTAAGCATTTGCCGCCTTCTCCTACGCCGTCGTTACTAAGCAACAGGGTAAACGGCTGCTGGCTTGATGACGCAAACGAACCGCGGTTCGGACCCAAATAAAATAATATGAACGCAGTCCAGCGGGGGGAGGGGGGAGCACTCGAACTCTGGTTCGGCCCAGACAAGCGAACCAAGTGTGAAAGCACCCTAAGTCTCAAGTCTTAACCTTCAAGTCTCAAGCAAGTCCAAGTCAATTTTTGTGAGAATCAAGCAAGTCAAGTCACTGCTTTTGTCAAGCAATTCAAGTCAAGTCATAGCTTGGGTCAAGCAAGTCACTGTCAAGTCATACAAATGTTTGATGATTTAACTGAATTTATATATTAAAATAACTTAAAACTACAGTAGTTATGGACTATGGGAGTTTTATTTGCAACAAAAAAAAATTGCAATATGCATTTCTACTCAAAAAGTGTCCACATACAGCTGAGTTGTTAATACAATAAAAATCTAAAATAAATAAATAAATATTAAACTACATAGCCTAAGATGTAAATGTAACTGAAATTAGTCCAACATAAAAGCATGAAAATTATTTAGGTATAGCTGTTTCAATATGCCTCAAACATTGAAGAAAACCATGAAAAAGTATTAAACAATTCAAGTAAAATGGTTTCTGTGCCACCAAATGGCATTCTTCAAACATGCATCACCTTTATGGGACATGAACACATCCTTAAGTTAGATCCTTCCTTTTTAACAAAAGAATAACAACAAGAAAAAATATTAATAATTGAATCACACAAACCTTGCACCTGTTTATAATGTACATTATTAATCTGTGTGTGTGTGTGTGTGTGTGAGGAGAGAGAGGTGAGTGTGATTTATTAATATTTGTGAGTGAATGTGTGTGCATGTGTATGAGTGTGCATGGTGTGCATGGTT